TCCCGTCTTCCAAGTCTCGTCTTTCATGTATCCGTCATTCATGTCTCGTATTTCATGCCATGTCCCGTCATTCATGTAGCCGTCTTCCAAGTCCCGTCTTCCAAGTCCCGTCTTCCAAGTCCCTTCCAAGTCCTGTCCATCTCCCTACCATGTCTCTTCCATGTCTCTTCCATAACCTGTCCAAGTTTCGTCCATGTCCCTTCCACGACCTGTCCATGTCCCTTCCACGACCTGTCCATCTCCTAGGAGTCGGCGAAGTTGCGGAAGCCAAACTGCTTCTGGCACCAGCTGGCGCCGTGCTCGTAGAACTCCTGCTTGGTGATCTTGACGGCGTCCAAGACGTCCGAATGCGCCAAGGCGCAGCCGCCGTGCCAGGCCGCGTGGTCCAAGGCATGGGCCTGGTCCACCACGCGCACGCCCCAGGCCGCCGGGAGCTCCAGGCGCAAGTCCGCCGCGAGCCGCGCGCGGAAGTTGCGCAAGTTGGCGGCGCCGCCCACCACGTGGATGTTGGCCAGGAGCATCGGGCGCACGGGCGCCGGGCACGCCATGATGGCGTCCACCACCAACGCCGGGAGGTTCCGGAAGCCCGCGTTCTGGAGCACCGCGCTGCGCGACCACGCGCAGTTGTCCAACAAGATCTCCGGGCGGAAGTACGCCTCCGGGCCCGTGAAGCGCTCGTCGCGGAGCACGATGGTCTGCGCGCCCGGCGCAAGCGGGCGCCCGGGCTCGCGCACGTGGCCCGTGGCCGTGGTCTTGAAGTCCGGGAGCACAAACTCGCACGCGGCGCGCAGCCGCGCGCGGAGCGCCTGCCCAAAGTCCGCCGCCACGTACAGCGTCTGCTCCTTGATGGTGTTGAGGAGCACCGGCTCGGCCGCCACGTCGTAGTGGCGGAACGCCACCGTCTCGCGGAGGAGCCCGGTCACGTGGCGCCCGCCGAACGGGAGCTTGCGCACGCCCGCCCACATCACGCGCTGGCCCAACACGGGCACCACGTGCGTGGCGCCGTGGCCGCAGTCCACCACCAACGCGTAGTCCGGCGGCGCGCGCGGCACGGCCCACGGCACGAGCTGCGCCGCGGCGCAGCGGTAGTACTCCGCAAAGCCGTACTCCTCGAACACCACGAGGTCGGTGTTCATGGAGAGCTGCGGGAGCTGGAACGGCGGCTCCGTCAACACGAGCCGCACGTCCAGCGGGTCGAGCGCGCGGCGCGGCAGGAGCCGGTCCAACGTGTAGTCCCACACGGGTTTCTGTGTCTCCCACAGCGTCAAGTGGCCCTGGTCGTGCGGCCGCTTGAAGCTGATGCCCAGGTGCAAGTTGGCGTGTGCCCGGTACTCGTTGCCGATGTAGACGATGCCGTCGCGCGCCTTGGCGAGCGTGTTGTCCACGGCGAGCGGCAGGCCGTGGTCCGCAAACCCGGCCTTGATCTGGTACGCGCCGTTGTCCAAAACGAGCTGCTGCGAGGGCATGGCGGAGAGGGCGGCGTGGGCAGAGTGGGGCGGCGGCAAAAGAAAAGTAGTACGTATGTGCGACTAGGGCCAAGGCGCGCGCGCGCCTCCAGGCCGGCTTCCCCAGACGGGCCCTGTCTTATTTCCCTTGGAATTAATAGAGAGAGAGTTTCGCTTTTGATTTCGGGTTTGATTTTTTGGTTGGTTGGGGACGGGCGCGGTGGTCTCGGGTGGTGTATTTTTCTTTTTGTTCTTTCGGGTCGGTTTTCTTTCGGGGGGTCGGTCCAGGACCTATGCTGTCTTGTTCAGTATTGTTCGTTCTCGTGGCGCGCTGGCTCTTTGACTTATATTTTGTTTAGACTCTATTTTTCAGCTTATAAACATATGATAATTAGAAGCCGTGTGATTGATCTATAGATTAAAGACTATGCTACAATTTTTAAATGTCTCACTATATTAAATGTATCACTATATTAAATGTATCACTATATTAAATGTCTCACTATATTAAATGTACCACTTTAATTAAATGTACTACTATATTTAAATGTATCACTATATTAAATGTATTCCTATATTAAATCTACCACTATATTAAATCTACCACTATATTAAATGTATCACTATATTAAATGTATCACTATATTAAATGTATCACTATATTTAAATGTATCACTATATTAAATGTATTCCTATATTAAATCTACCACTATATTAAATGTATCACTATATTAAATGTATCACTATACTTGTAATATATCACTATATTAAATGTATCACTATATTAAATGTATCACTATATTAAATGTATCACTAT